TAAAGTTTTTTTTATTAGCTATAATTATTTTAGGAATTATACTGCACAATTTGCATTTGCATTGTGCATAACTTTGAATGCCGAAATATGCATCTTAAAGTTGACAAAACGACAACAAAGAATGGCTGCCTTGACTACCCTTAAAACAATTTCAAGATTCATAAATTTAGTACTCTTGTTCTCTATATAAGATAAAATAAGGCAAAATGATACAGATCTCACTCAACAATTTTTTAATTTTCAACATTTGATCATTTAAAATGATTAGTGCCTAATAAGCAGCAAATACACCTCTGAGCACACTTCGAAAAGTACTGAAAAAACTTACCACTAACATGAATTGTTTTTTCTTTCGTACCAAGATTATTTGCTACACGACAAGTATAATCACCAAAATTGTCTTCTTTAATATTTTCAACTGCCAGGATAGACTCACTATAGTTATCTCGTCTGGTGCCATATTGTACTATACCTTTAAACCGATTATCCGAAAACTGAAAACAAAATGTCGAAAATAACTAAAGATGATATTAAGTGTATAATTTTGGAAAATTATTTAAGATATTGACACTGCTTTTCATATTCAAATTTTATTAATTCAGTATTTAAGAAAACATAATGAACTACAGAGAAATAATGCAAGACGACTTCGATGACAGCCAAGACATCTTATTTTCGCAAGCTAAAACTGTTCTGTCACTAATTCACTCGGCGAGAGTACTAAAAAAGCAATGTAATTTCTCATTCTCATTGAACAGAATAGCTCGTGCTTATAAGTCTTTGAGGATATAGTAGAAATGATCATGAGTCCAATTTGAAATAGCCAAATGTGCGCATCAGTAGGCCTTAAGATAACTTGAGAAGAGACAAATTTGCGCACGTCCCTCAAAAGAAGTATAAAATGCGAACAGTAATGCACGTCTGTCCTCCTTCTTCCTCCTCACAGTCTAAGTCCGAATGGAATATTTCATGCTTTTACGTTCCCTTGGACTTTTAATATCATTCTTACAACTTAGAGCAAAGCAGAGTAAAAGACAGATAATCTTATATTTGAATAATCTCATAATTCGCTCTCAGACGATATGCTCACTTTCCGAGATTCCGTTTTCAAATTCTGTTAGTTAAAGTAGTCTGGTCCGATGAAGTTGGTTGAACAACATACATGATGCATGTTTTATGCCAATACAGGCTAATTAATAGAAGTCTTCGTTCAAAGACATGACTGATGACCTTTTCGAAGCAGTGGTAACAAGAGTAGCTTAATCTTCTTTCAAATCATTCACAACTTAATCCACCTGATTTGAAACCTAATCCTTTTACTATATCGTTACCTCCATGCTTATCTGTAATAACCTTAACACGGAAAATAAAGACATGAGCCATCTGCTTCCGAGATAAGAAACCTTTTGGCAGTGTTTTACGAATGATCTGTAAATTGATTCACTCTACTGCCTATCAAATTAAGATATTCACTGTTGCTCCACATTCGATTTTACTAACATCCTAAATTTATAGACTATTTTAATTCCCAGAAGCTAAATGATCATCAAAAATTTATAGATATCTGTAGATATTTAATTTTAAAAGATCTTGTTATAAACATATAATAAATAATGATTTTTGGCAAAGGGGTCAACAAGAGCTTCCTTTGTTAAAAGAGATATGTTTAAAACTTGATTAAAAAAGAATTGGAAAAAAGAGGATGTTTAGTAGAAAAAAATAAAGTACTGTCAAAATATTTCAATTAAAATTGAAATGATCCCCCGTAAATTCTATCCAGCAATGAATACTTTGTTATTCTAATCAATAGTGTTTTCAAGAAACTAAAGATGGAGTTATTGCTAGAACAAACATTGCTATGGGAAGTAAAGGATGTAAAGTTTCATATATCAGATATACACTAAGAAATAAGAGACTAACATTAATTGTGAAGCCGTTATAAAACCAATCTACTTGAGGTGACGGTTCAGCATTATATTTGCACGTCAAATTAATGTCCTGGTCCAGACGCACTGGTATATACGTATATATTGAATCTACCCATGGTGGTGCTGAAATACTGCTTTTTCTCATTTCTTATTAATTTTTGTTAGGACATTCCACCATTAGAAAACAACAGAAATCAAACTGAATGGTTCTAGAAATGAAATAAAGCTTCTGGACATTAATTGTTGAGAGCAGGTTTGTTCAATCGGATCGGATCTTTGAATATGTTCTATTTTGTAAAAGCAACAGACTAATAGAATCAAAGTTTTCAAGAAAGAAAAAACTGGATATAGTAAGGTTTTAAACATGCGCGCCTTTTCACCAACTATTCACATGGGAATTAATTTTGACTAATAAATAAACTAATTTGAAAAGAACCTGCCGACTAAAGATAAATGCTCAGCCGGAAATAAATGATATGAGCGATTATTAATTACTATAGGTCCATCTGTTGCTCATCCAGAGAAGGTTCGAATGCTCATTGCTAATATTCAAAATCAACATCTGATCTTCGTTGATTGATGATGGAACGACAGTCAAAAAAGTTCAGCGAAAAATCAGGAAATCTGTTATTTTCCTTCCGCAATCATAATTTACTATTATGCAGATGAACAATTAGTTGGTCTATGTCAATCATTAAATTAACTTCAAAACGGTGACAAAACTTTTAGTATTGATTTTCCAAGAATTTTCCTTCAAAAATACAGAAATGAAATTCTGCTTTATTTTTACTAATGGCATAAAAAATTAAATTAAATTTTATACTAATCGGTTCAAGGATGCAAATTTGTAAGTAGAACACAACAAACCTGCTCACATCAAAACACATAGTACTATTAAGAAAAAGCATGCAAGAAATAATTAGGAAGTAGCCCAAGAAGTGAAAAATGTATGTATGCAAACTCACACGGCTCATGCGCTCCGTATTGACCTGCTGAAACAGAAAAAATTAAATTAGATAAAATGATTTACGTACATAATTAGAAATGTCAAAATTATTCACGTTCAAAAATTTTCAAAGCATATTTTTTTAGTTTGGTTAAAGCAAATTTAATGAAGCAGAATATACTAATGAAAATCGATACTTCATGAAGCAGAATGATGACAAGCATTAGCAAGTAGTACTAAATCTTTTTCAGATTACTCTATACTAGCTAATACAATAGATAAATCACCTTTCTGAGTCATTTTGCAATGTTCTTTTGCGACTTATTCATTGCAGCCTTAAGCCTGCCAGTCACGCAGATTAAATAAAAATCCTACTCATGAATTAGTATTAAAATTGTAACAAACCCGAACAAAAACCCTAATTTTCTCCTTTTCTTCATTTTTAATGCTGTGTTGAACATTTTTGCAACAAAAAACAGCTATTAAATAACTTTTAGTTATTTATTTTTTCTGCTACCTAAGTCAATTCTACCGCTTTACTATCAGCTTTTAATCTCACTAAAATTGATAATATATTGGGTACAATAAGCGTTTTTGTGAGAAGACGTACTGCGTTCCCTACTTTTGACTGAAACCTTTGTTCATCTTTGATCGCATGACAGATAGCAAGACTGGTACAATATTTGAAAATACACATGGGGTCCATATTTTTTCTTTTTTTGCTAAATGCTGGAGCGATAGAGAAAAATCATTTGCAACTGAATAATTTTATTTTATTTCAAGTCAAAAATGGGAAAATTGATAAGTAACTATTAAACTGTTACATAGACAGGACTTTCTTTGATCTATAATATGCTACAGTACTTAATCCATATTTTTATGAAGGAGATTTGGAATAAATCCACGTTAAATTTGAGTTCATTCAAAGCTCCTTCACAAAAATTTAATCTAATGCCATTATTCTCATTATTTACTTTAGTTTACTAACAAATGAAATAGATTTTTGCGCCTTTTGAATTTGCTATTATTATTCTTATACCCGCCATTAACATAACTTTGACTAATTAGGATCACCGCAGGTTAGTAATAAGTAGCGCAATTGATATGCTGTGGCACTTAATAGAGAAAAAATGAATTAGGACCCTAACATTCTGTTCTTTAAATACATTTAAGCACTCAGTAGAGTACATATATGTTGCATGAGTTAGTGTGTGGGTCCCCGAGAGTTCACGCACCACTAAATAATTGGTAAGCACCAACAAAGTAAAACCATATTATTATTGTTATTCATATGATCTCAGCGCAAGCAGTCAGTGATTCTTTTAATTTGATGTACTGAGGAGTGAGTGTCAAGTGGAGAGTTAAATAAGAGTGATTTTAGACTATACTAAAATCTAACTGATGTTTTAGAAAAATTACAAAATCCAGAAATTTTGGAAAAAAGTTATTGTTGCTCTCAATATAACCATCTTTTCATCGTCAGTTTCAATTATGAATTTACTAGCAAAGAACTATTCTGTAATGAACTATGAATGCACGTACATTGTACTCGAACTTCAATCGTGTCATGTGCATCGGTGCCCACATTATTTGAAGCTGTGCATTCGTAAACGCCACTATCGTTCACTGTTACTCGAGTTATTCTTAACTGTCCATCTTTTGATACAGCTCGTGCTGGCACTGCGCGGCCGTCCTGTAATTTCTTGAATAGTTAATGTTTTACTACAGGTAGTGAGTAAAGATTTAAGTACATCAAAAAATTCAGTATAGCAATAAGTGAATAGTGAAGCGGACATTTGCTCGAACTCTAAAAGTTTGAAAATAAAGAAAGCCACCTGTCGGGTCCACGTAACCTTTGGCAACGGGTTACCCGACGCAGAGCATTTGATGAATACGTTATCACCAACATTCACTAACAATGGGTTTGCATCTGGCGATATAGAAACTGTTGGGTGCACTAAAACGCAAAATTGCAATCTAAATACTCACTAAAACGTCCGCTTCTTTAATCAGAACCATTTTAGTTATTTGCAGAATTAGTTTTAAGAATCATTAAATTTAGGATGCAAAATCTGCTATATACCAATTTTTTGTTTGTTACGAAATGAGCATTACTTAAATGTAAGAGATATCTTCTTGTACATGATAATGTATATTTCTTAGAAATTTTCATTAAAATGATATCATACAACTCAGTTCAAAAAGAATATCGCCAAAATTCAAAAAAAAAAATACCGTTTACTTCAAGTGTATGCACTATAGACATTTCAGGAGATGTTATTTCACAAAAATATTTTGCACCATCGTACGGCTCTACTTGGTCAATTATTAACGTGAAATTCTGAAAAGTTATGGATTTCTTAATTTTTGAAGAGTGCATTAAATGTAAGGATTGAATTTGAAGCAATGAATAATGAGCTAATTCTATCGAGAATATTAAATCTGATAGATAATCTTCATTTTAGTGCTTCTGCAATACTGTTGAAATATCATAAAAGCTTAGAGGAACTCTTTTTTATAGTGCAATAAGTAGAAGCTTGCACACATTATAAAAAGTTACTAGAAAGTGTTGAATAATTTTCAAACAGACTGATTTTAAGTGCAGACAAAAATCGGTATCAGTATAAACTTGATAAAGGAAATATAGTCCATTTCTTCAACAAGTACAGGAAAAAAAAATGAAGAACACAGGAAATTAAATTTCAGGAAATAATAAGACAAAATTCATGTACTGATTTTTTTTATCACTTTTCAAAAAGTAAACTGACATCGTTTTCTCGATGTAAATGAAATCGTGGATCTTCATGAAAACCTTCTTCATCTGTAAACAAGACTTGCTCTCCTCGTTTCCATATTACTACTGCATCATCCGCTTAAACATTCAGTATATTTGGACCATGCATTTCCAAGAATTTTCGGCAAAAATGATGATAAAAGTAAATATTAATCAAATCAAGCAAGATGGGGATGAAATCATATAAGCATTTCCTATTACTTTCCATTTAAATTTGGATCGGTTACTTGCTAACAGGTAAACAGCTGATTTTTAAATTGAACCTTGATAAGCTTACCAATATCATGTATACTACAGGGTAAGTTGACACTGTTCCCTTCATCGACAATGAATCGACGTCCTTGTGTAGTTATGACCGTTTGAGTGCTGTGGAACAATATTAACAAAATAAAGCTACTAAAATTGTGAACCATCGCATTCGTCTCCAATCTAAAAAAGTTAAAATAACATTATCAAGAATTAACGATAAATTTCTACATAAAAACACAGCTTTCAAGAAATAACCTTAATTGCAGGCAAACAAAGGAGCTGAAAATGGACAAACAATTGTTATCAAGTTATAGAAAAAATTCAAGACAAAAATGCAAAATTTTGTTTTCATTTCTGATTTAATTTGATATTTAAAATTGTGATAGTATGTGAAACAAATTAAAACTAGGGTAAAATGTGCAGTTTTAAAGTTAAAAATGTTACCAGTACTGATTTTCTTTATTGTTTTAAAACAGGAATTTTAAGGTTTAAATGAGAATAGAATTATCATAACTCTTCATCCAGAATCTGTTAAAATGAACAAAAAATAATTTGTTTTTGTTGAAAAGGTTAAAGTTTCTGACTCACTTCAGTGGTTTCCCTTTTTTACATGTAGAAAATAGAAGTGAACAGGTTTGAAAAAAATTTAAAAAGAAAATTTCAGCAGAAGTCAATAGAATTTCTGGTCAATTTAGCTGTTAAATTGATCGAAAATATGAAAGAAATGGAAAACATGAAAACTTGTTAATGAATGAAAACCGATAATAGTAAAGAGTAAAACTTTTACCAGCCATGCAGAGCAAGCCTTAGGCTTAAAATGAGTGTGTGTAAATGGGAAAGAAAGATGGAAAACCAAGTGCGATTTTAGCATTCCGCAAAAAAACCCAAGTGAAAACATTAATTCCTTTTTGAATCACAAACTTCCTAATTTTCACTCTGTTTAGAAATTTACTGAAAACGAAAATGGAATCAACAGTATGTCAAAAGCAAAGTTCAAACTTTATAAGTTGTATTGCTTCATAAACGAAACTGAGTATAAACAGAGCTTTTCAGCCCCAGCTAATTAAGAAAGTTTCTTACACATGGAATACGCATACAATAAGCATCATAGAGCACGTTAATTTTATGGTTTTCTAGGCTTTCTCACAATTAAATTTATTAATCAAGCGATTATGCAGATCTTTGATTATGTATATCTCTCTTATCATTATATACCGATAATGTTTGGACCAGTAGTTTCAATCAAATTAAAAAAATTAAATTATTAAGAAGGAATTTACGAAATTAGGGAGAAATTTGCATTTTTAAGAGTAAGTAATAAAGTTCATGAGTCACTAAAAGTAATCAAGCATTTGAAAACACTGAGCACTGAGCCAGTTCCAGCCTTCTTAGTTTATATTATTTTAATGCTAAAACATCCACAAAAATGGTAAGGAATTGAATCTGTTCTATTTACAAAGAAGAAATGGTTGTAAGCTATTAAATGGATGGTAAAAGTTTATGTTCGTGACAACAACAATAACAATACACTATTGACATTACGGCTTAAGATAGAAGCGTCTGAATCTTAGTTTAGGGATACATAGTTAATGTCATTTATGAGTTACAGAAAAAGTAGCAGTATATGACTAGTCAATGCAACTATTTGATTCCTTTCTTACATAATTAAAATGAATTATCATGGAAAGTTAACCAGTACCAAAATACTACTGAAATCAATTTGCAATCAATAAATACAGCCAGTAGCTGGCTGATTCATCTTCATCAACACTATTTGAAAATGGATTATTATTTAATTTACTGCTAGAAGTCATAATTGACATAAACAAAACAAATGATAACATTTAGAAATCAAAAAGTTTGAAAAATCTGACTTATTGCCTCTAAAGATTTTTTCATGAGAGTGTAACGTAAGTAACTTGAGATTAAAACCAAGGTACCATTTATCATCACAGACGTAATTCAAAGGGATTAATGAGTATTTTCGTTGCGCAATCATCCAGTTCTGTAGGTCATGTTGAAATAATTTGAGCATAAATAACAAAACTAAGCATTATAAAAAATAAAGATAAAGTAATTCATGGAGATAAAATAACTAAGACTTCAATAAAAGTTAAATTTCGTAAATCACGAGAAAAAATTTAGAGAAAGGTGGTAAGTTTTGATATGAACAAATAGCAAATGCGCCTTAAATACATATTTGCACAAGCTCACAGGGTCTAAAACCTTTTTCATTAAACATTAGCATTTAATATACTGTAAAAGTCACTGATGATGATGGTAACCTTTGAACAAACTTTTGCTTATCATTTCCAATCCTTCTTAACCAGTGAAAAAAACATATTTTCAACGTCTGTTTGAACTTAGAGACAGGAAATCATAACTTCTTCCCTTAATTTAATCTGCTCACTATATAAGGCATTGAACTTTAACAGAATAATTTTTTGACCCTAAATCAATATATCGTGACTGTGAAGAGGTAGCTCTGTCAATTACTGTGTTCAAGTTTAGCTTTATCCAATAGATGTTTAAATGCTTAAGTTAAACCGTCCTGCGACGTATTGAAAAAAAAACTTCGCCAAAAATGCAGTTTCGCTCAGGAGAGCTACAAAATAGACTTGCTTATCAATTGTTTAAACAACATCGTTAATCAAAAGGTATTTTATCATTTTCTTTTGCATTTAGTGCGCATAAATAATGCAGTCAATCAATTGATTTTTATACGTGAACAAGATTGAATAAATTTATGCGGTATGACAATATTAAACGTTGATGAACAGAATTTGAAATTTACGAGCAGACCATTACTGCCCAATATTTGAATGATAGCGAATTTGTTTAAGAACTCTGATTGCTATTACAAGAAAAAAACAAGGACCAATATCGGAAATTGATTCGACAATGTGAGGCTCTTTACGAATAAAAGATTAAATGAATCATGAACTGAGAGCTCTCTCCTTGCATTGAAACACAAAAATATTCAAATGAGTTCTAGTGAACTACAAAGAATTAAAAGGAGCTTGTAGTGAAATAAATAAAGTCAAACATCAGCACATGCCAAACGACGTTGCTAAGTGACGCATTTGCATATTACAATCATTAATAAAACTCTGATATTTATTTTTGCAACCCATATTTCAATTTAACGAAATAAAAACAGCTGGTAGTCTTCTTCATCAGACAAAAATAAAGAAATTTTGTCAAGAGAAGATTTCAACTTTCTAAGAAGAAAATCTTTAATTTCTGAAAACTAGGGAAACCATGTCTTTTTTATAGATATCTACTAATTTCCTTTTCTGCATCATATTCTAACTTTAAACAACACTTCGCAACACGTGTTTCACTCCGTTGACCACTTCAAAATTATGGTATTTAAGCACGAGAACTTTGCAACACCCACTGACAACATAGTCACAATCCAATTTGTTTTGTTGGATTGTAAATATCAACAACAGACTGACTGTATATAATATTAATTATCAGTAGCATTAGTCATTTTGAGATTTGATAATACTTAATATTCGGAACAAAGGATGGAAGAAAAAGACATACAGGTAGATTAGCATCCAGGAATAACTCTGAAGGTGTCTACTTTCTTGGGATGACCAGCTCCATACTCATGACAGATTGATTTCCCACCGCATCTTATCTTTTGCTTCCAATAAGGCTCATCCCTCAAATAAAAGGAGTAAAGACAAGACAACCAGCCATACTTTATCAGACTACTCTCACCCTCCTCATCATCCAAGAAAATAATTTTACCGATAAATGCATGCGCCCATATATGTATCATTAATGCTGGTTTTACCTGACCTGTTATAGACCATGCAGATTCAGTCATAACTACTATTCACTTTGTCTTTGCTGCACAGTAATATCTCCTCATGCACCTTTTCCTCCTTAATGATGTACTAATGATTTTGCAAGTCCAATTACCGTGCTGCACAAACAGGTGTCCGTCCCCGTGCACGAATGTGTATCATGAATTTCTGTTTCCCTGCGTACATGCTTGTCACTCCTCACATCGTGCACATGATGCATATTACTTTTCTCCTCTCATTTTTGAATTTGCTCATTTAAAACACTGTGATAACAGTCTTGAAAAAAAACAAAAATTGATTACTTCAAGAGCGCACTGTCTGCTTCCAAAATAGTAGCAAAATTAGGAAACAGAAGCAAATAAAGTTCCACTAATATAAAGATGGCTTTTCTTTTTTTTTTTGCTAAAATACTTCATTTAAATGAATGGGATGCATATCAGTGTTAAATAAGAGTAGTATATGTTTTTTTTTCCGCGAACAAAAAGAAATTGACAAATAATTAAATTACATAACTCTTATATTTTTCAAATCTCAAAGGATATTTCGAAAAAAAAAACGAGACGACAGTCAAAATAAAAATTCATTTATACGCATGAAAACGATTCCCTTACAACAGTGAATCCTTTTAATAGCTCAGGAAAGCTGCAAATGTGCATAATAAATAAAGAACTATTTAATACAGAGCAGCAGGGACTAAGATTGATGAATACTATCACCACTGTTTTTGTTCCTTGCAACTTCTGCAACCCCCAATCAATGCTTCACCTAGCTCGCATAAAAATTCCATACATACATCTAATATGAGTCACTTTCAGTTAAATGAAGTATTCTAGCAAAAAAGTTTATATCACTCTAAAAATGACGACGGTAGCAAAAAGCCAAAGCAAATCCTTAAAAGTCAAATGTCCCGTTAATACGAGCAATACACTGTTTTGGGCTTGAGATGAAAGCAACAGAAGAATTTTTTGTATGACCTTTAATTAAACAAAAAATAAACTGTAAGTATCAATCAGATTTAAAGTCTCTAATAAAAAAATTCATTGACGTTGCACTCCGCGTGTTGTGCGTTTAAAGCACTAAAAGTGAAGCAAATAAGTGCATGAATTATGGAAATCTAAACGAAAAATTTTTTAAAATAAAGCAAGAGATTACCTAAAATTTGTCACATAAGCGTGGTCTATTGTATTTTCATTTCAGTCTTCCACGACAATATCATTAACAGCTGAAGATGTTACCTATGTTTGCTAAGAGACAATACTCAATCTTTCATTTCAAATTATTTATGTTCGCAGAATTGTGACAGGAAATCTGCAACAATCTATAATTGAGTTGCTTAAATAGTCTGGTTACTCATTCATGTTTTCTGATCATGCCTAGATCAATAACTATAAAATATAAAAATGTATAAATAAATGTAACATAATTAAATAGATACTTTTATTTATACGTATCTATCTACTCATCCATCTATCTATCTTTCAACCAAAGGTCATCTGTGTTGCGTAGGCCAATTTTATGGTCACATCATCATTTAAATATCTTAACTCATGCATTACATATCACCCCCGCACACACATACATAAAAATATTGCGCCTCGGTAAGATTTTCAGTAGTAGAAGAGAAAGACGAATATTTATTTAGTTTCGTCTGGTACACTTCTAATAACTACAGTTTGTAACACAAAAATATCGTGTTTTTAGTGTGCTTTCAGCGTTGTCAGCAACAATTATATCTTAATTTATGTTTTGTAACAATTTTTCCAACTTTATCATAAAATTCATCTTTTCATAAAATTCAACTTTACGGTGATCACTTATAAGTGAACACTTCCGCTTTTATTAACTTATCTTTATGAAGATGAATTTTATGTTGGCTATGTAACATTTGCAGATGCAAGCTGCGATATGAAATAATCTCAGAGAAAAAAGCAAGGCATTATAAAAACTCTAAATACGTAATAAGGATTTTAAGGAAAGGAAAGTGAATGAGAGTATTGATAAGTTAATAGAAGCGGAAGTGTTCACTTATAAGTGATCACCAGGATTCCGTGCCACTATCTACAAAGTCGCTCACGGAAATTTGGCGCTAAACCTGTTATCATAACATAAGACAAAATTGTTGCTTCATCATGAAGTAATTCAACAATAACGGTGTCACACTGAGTGCAGTGATTTTCACTTTAATCATACACTATTCATCAGTGAAGTGCTTCGCGATAAATGTCGAGTTAATTGTTCGGATGATGGTAACATTGAAAAAAGATGTAGTGAATGATTTTCTCGATTAATTGAAAATTTTGAGAATACTGAATAATATTTCACTTTTATCTTGTACTTGGCAAAAATCGGTAGGAGAAAGTAACTGATGAAAAGTATTCAGCGAAAGATATAATAAAAAGAATGATACTGATTGTACACAAATTTATGTTAACAATATCACATTACCTTTGAGAAAACAAGAGTTAGTGGATGGTGCAGAATCTGCCTGAAGTACGAGCACCATATTTCTCGTATGACATTATGAAACGTAAATAAGACACACGCCCACACAAGCTGCAAGTAAGATATCTTACGTAGTTTTCATTATTTTATTTCTAAAATTATTCATATCTGTGAATGGAATAAAAATATTCTCTTTGGAAATTTTTTCCTATCTGAGAGTAATAGGAAGAAAATGATGTTTAGCAACTTTGAACTACACTTCGTAAACTAATTTTTTTTACAAGAATAAATGATTGGATTTAGACCGATTTATTTCTGAAAGAATTGCATTCATTAAAAAGCATATAAGTGAATGTATGATTCTGACAGAAGGAAGATGATTTTCTATTATCAGTCATATTTGCTACTAAATAAATTATAAACTAGAAAGTGAGATTGGCATCCATCATTAATACATAAATATGAGGTCATGAATATAAAAATTCAAAGTGATAGATCACAAAATCAACACGAAAGCGAAAGCAAAGTTTTGACCAAAAACGAGTGTACTGAGTAACCGATAAAGACAGTTTGCCTACATATAGAAAATAAAATTGTCGATTATAAATCTTAGAAATAAAGATATATTAACTCACATTCAATTTCAAGACTGATCCTTAGTCATGAATTGAAATGCTTTTTTTTATTTAGCCAGCTTTAGTTCGAAATTGGCAAGTCACTAAATTTATGGTTGAATTTAGATTTTTTAATCCCACATTTAATCAATAAAATGAAATAATTATTCTGCAAATAAAAATTTGGTTTAATTACTGTTTGATCACTTGCAATGCGAATAGAGCATTAAATAGGGAGTACAAATATTAGAGAAACAGCAAGATTTAATAGTGAATACGATAAAAGAAGATGCAAATATTGAAAAAACTACTTTACATAAATTTTGTTGAAAATTAAAAAAATAATAATAATGGTAAGCAGGTGACGATATTCAAGGAAAACTGTTGTGACAGCACCGCTAACCAATTATCATATCTTATTCTTCATGCAGCTGTTTGCTGCAATTTGTGATCATTATTCTCAATAGCTGTCGAATGAATAGCTGGGTGATTTTTTTCTTTTTTTAATATGTTCAATAAAATATGTTAATGAGATGGAATACAAAAGAAGAAAAAATAAATTGCTACCCAAAAATAAACTGAAAAAAAAGTGGCAATAGAGTAATCACCAACAAGCAACCGCTCCTAAACAAAAATGCTTTAAGTAACAGAATTAAGTCATTGATTCCAAATAATTTTCAAAATCCCTCAATGACTTCTTGTCTGCTCGTGGAATATTGTAATGAATGAGGCATGCAAAGAAATGCTTGTAAGATTTTTTTACTGCTTCTTTTTTTAAAACTTTTTTGCTACACTATCTGAATTTGATAAGATTACCGTAAAAGTAACTGATACTTTGATGTAAAGTTTTTGCAAGATGAACATGACAAATTTATCAATAGATGTGATCTGATCAAAGACAAAATCGATTAAAACCAAACAAATTTTTATACACCTGACTTTTCGAGGAAAAATTATGCACGAAATGCTTACATAACTGTCTTTTCTGAAAATAGCAAATACTGATTGTATTTTTTTAATTATTTAAAGAGATGAATGTTAAGTACACTGTTTAAAGTCACAGCTTCAATGAGCCTGTTATTATTTTGAAAAATCGAAATTGGTGCTTGTTAAACTCAAGTCTTGGAAATTTTTCAACTAGTATTGTTTCATGAATCAAAATAAGTAAATGGTAGGTCGGAATGCATGGAATTTTCAAAGGCTTGGCCTGTTGCACATATTGATTTCAGATAAAGTGGGACCGTTAATGATATTAATGAAGTAACAAAATAAAACGCAATGTCCTTCATTGTCCGAATCATTCATTGCTTAACGTCCTTCACCGTCTTAATGGTCACTCCAACTAGATTATGCAATTGCAAATCAACATACGCATTTCTCTTCGAGTTTGCAAATTACCATCATTGCTTTGGTGTTTGCTAACTTGAGGTCAACTCGATGAGGCAACTTTGTTTTTCGCAGACTTCCTCAAATGAAATTACTAACGAAAATGTTTGAAAAAATTTATGATTACTTGAATTTTTGATTCATTCTGTTCGTTGTTCTCAGAAAGTGATAAAAATTTTAATCATCGCCTCTGTACCGTCCAAAATTTAATTTCAATAAAAAAGTCTTCCATTCGGCAGAAAAGTATGAGTGCGTTAAAATCAAACATTATTGCATAATACCATAATAAATCTTGCAATCACAGAATATTTTTAAATACGTCATCTCAATCTAATATTGATAGAAGACGAAGAACAACATTGCACTGTAAAATTCTTAAGCCTTTCAGCACTTTTGCTGAAAATTATTTGTTCAGAAAAACTTGATATTTCTTGTTCATATATAAATGTTTTTTCATTCGGTAAGAAAAAAATTCCAGTTCAGGAAGCAACTCAATCCCTGATAATACAAACGTAATGTATTTTCCACACATCTTGAAAATTCAATACAAGTTTGAGAACTTTTTGTAAACTGAAACT